TCCTTTGGGCCTCATTTCTAAAGCAGTCCCCCAAAGATGTCCTTGATTACTCCCAAGAACCTGTGACTATTCTAAGATGTCACTCTCATGATTATGTTATGTTATATGGCACAGTCGATAATCACATGAGCTTTTAAAAGCAGAGAGTTTATTATAGATATATTACATTAAAATATAATTTATCCTAAATACTTCATTTTTAGCACTCCTTACATATTTTGCCAGAGTTAAGCCCCTCCTTTACCTTCTATTCCTTCTAATGCTTAGCTACAAAGTTCATGTTCTTATTATTACCCTTGTTATTTCACAGTGTCCTGTAATTCTTGTCTTATTGATAGAGAATCATCTTTATCTTCCCCATTTTTTCAAAGTTTCTCTTCTCCATATGCTTCTTCCCACTAGTGACCATGATCCATGCCACCTTTATTACATCACATCCACCTAGTCCCTGCACTAACCAGGTGATTATATATTGGAGTAGTGTCATAAGGCTATCACCAGATATCCTGCCAAGTAATTGTCACCTTAAAAGGCCCTTGACTTCCAAATAATTAAAAAATAGTTTTATCCTGTTTATTTGAGCATTTATTTTCATCATTTGGTATGGCACATTGAATTCATATTACTAATGCAATTTACTCCTATAGATTTCAACTTTTTCTATCTTTTAAAATACTTTTGCTAAAGGTAGGGGAATTAGGAAATGTGCGTTTGAGAAACATGAGTTTAGAAAGAGGTAGGTAAGGGCAAAAAAGAAATGGCTAATAAATTTGCTCTCTGGTCTAGAAAGTTTCTGTATGAATTGTTACAGTAACGCTTATTCTGTAGTTCCTATTTTATTACAAAAAAAAGAGAAGGAAAGTAGCTGTAAGAATCATTCATAACCACCCATATTAATGACTATTTTCACTAGATTGAATCATAGATATTTTATATCTATAGAAAGTGGTCATTTTTACTGTGCATGTTGATTCATAGTTGCATAACTAATCATGACAACTTTATTAATTGCTTATTATCAAGGGTTTTCTCTTTTATTGGAGAACAAGTGACTTCCTTCCCTCGCACTGGTGTGCATATATATCTCTGTGTGATAGAGATTAATGCATAAAGCTTTGCAGGAAACTGCCTCATTGATTTTGTTGCCTTTATATTTGTCTTCCTTAGATGACTTCCACTAACATAGATAGAGGATGTATAGCCCATTTCAGTGGGACACCCAGGGCCCCACCAATGGAAGTTGGAGTTCTGGCTTGAATTCAGGCAGCTGAGTAAATAAGAGTTTAAAGAGACATTTTTAGAGAAATGAATGCATTATATCATTGGTTCTTTCTAAGATCTCCAATACACTACTTCTTTGATGAGGGAACTTTTATATAGTATTAGTCCTTGCTTGTGTTTTGCATAATGATTAGAAAATGCACTACTAACACTGATGTAAAGATGTGCCACAGAATATTATTTAACTTTCTAATGAGTTGTATAGAGGTTCTATCTCTCAAATCTCTGTGTTTGGATATTCCATGCCATATTTTCTAATTCTTCAAATTTCATGTTAACCAATCCACAGCCTTACTGTAAAATTTAGAAATGTTTTTAAACTCCTGTTGTTTTCCCCATTATTAAGACTTGAATAGATTTATAATATTTGTATGCAGTGGTAAATTCTACTCTTAAACATAAGTTAATCTAGCAGCATCAGAGCTAATGGTGAATAAATGTAACCCACCTCAATAATGGCACTTCCTTTTAAAGAAACCCACATGAAGTCTTTTTTGATGAAAAGTATCAAATCAGTACCTCAGAGTCTTCTATGCTATGATAGTGCATTGCATACAAGAAAGCTGATGGGGTAGTTTTAAAAAATGTCCTGACAGAGTCAAGGTGATGGCCATTTTTAGCTGCCCTGCTATCCATCACCTCTTTCAGCCAAGCATACTCCATCATATGCAACAGCCTCATGAATTTATGCATCAAGCTGTGCAGCCAGTCGTGCCGAGGGCGCTGGTGACAAGTGAAATTGCTGTGCGCCTCATTTAGCTGTTTATTGCGCCTGAGTACGTGTTGCAGCTGTCATCCCACGATGGGATGATAGTGCTCGTTAATAGACAAGACAGGCAAATAATGATGGAGGCCACAGCAAGAGATGCTCATCTGCCAATGGGCTCTGAGCAATATCACAAACATCCACGAAGTTCTCCATCAAAAGCAGCCCTGTAAGAAAATACAGAAGGCAGGACTATTCTTCATGGGACTAACAATGGAGATTAAACTGTTGAAAAAAGTGTAGCCCAGTAGATCTTGTAACTTAGGACTGGCATTTGGGCTTCTACACTATGCTTCCCTTCTAAAACAAATACAAGAAAATGACCACACACAATCTCCAGGTTTGCTTCTGATGTGTAAGTTGACTGTATTCCTACCACACATCATGGAATTAAATTTAACCCAGCTGAAGAGTTGGGCTTATTCTGCTAGCAACCACAGTACCAGAAATTTGCAAAAGTTATTTTTCAACTGTTTGAAGACTTGTTTCATACATTTAGAATTTTGGATGGTTATCTTTCAATTCTTTTCAGTATTTTAGTGAAAAGTAACTTGAAATAGAAATACTCTATCTTTAGATTTGAATGGAATTTTCTTTTTGTATAAAATTGAATTATATTCAGGCATTCATATCTTGGCACATAGCAAAGAAGCTCTTAATAAAATCTCTTGCAGATGAAAGTCTGTTAAACAACTGACTTTCATTTCCTTTTTCTCTGAATATGTGATGCTTAATCTTATGGGTATTTTACAGTTGGTGATTAGTAAGTGCCTTAGGTATAGGCTTAAATGTGAATCTTTATGACTTTGCCAACAGGTTATTCATTTTGTAAGAATATAGAACTTAAAGAGTTAATTAACATGTTTGGTGTGATGAGATGAAGCAAATTCTGACAATTCTTTGCAGACTTTTATATATAACAGTAATATTCAAGACAATTTGAGTTACACTCTTGCTAGCTGGATATTATTTGGAGTGTCAAATATAGAAACAAATACCAAGGTCCAAACTGTGAACTTGGGATGGAAGTAATATGGGTATTTTAGAATTTAATGGAAGAGCTGGAAAAACCCTTCAGTATGAAAAAAATGAAAATGAAATATAAGAATAATCTATTAAACACATGTACACTATTAGGAACATGGTCTTCTTGGATTTAATAACATGTGGCTATGGTCTTTTTAATGATGTCCATCTTGCTATAAGGAAAGACTGACAAAAGTTTAACAAAGACATGATTACTCATAAACACATCAAGAATCATATAAAGTACTAACCATGACAACATAGAGAGAACACCATTATCAGGGTCATGAAGCTATCATGATAAAGAAACCCTAAGAACCTTCTAGTGTGGCCTCATCATTTTAAGGATGAAGAAACCAAGTCATAGAGAGGCCAAGCGACCCACTGAGGTCTGCAGTGAGTCACTCATAGCATCCGCAGATCTCTGGGGCCTAATGTCCTCCATAGCTGCTGTACCTGTGACATTTCCCACATCCTTGCTGTGACTGACCTTGTGAGCTTACTTTTACTATTTACTAACAAAAACCTTATTTTTATGTATATGTTGCTTCAAAAGATCATTTTGATTTGTTGTCTTACATATGCATATTTATTTATATGCTTAATAGTTATAAAGAGGGGAATATAAGCCATGTAACAGTAGGGGTAAAATAATAAAGGTTGAATAATGAGAAGAGCAGAGAGAATCAGAACAAAAATACTCTGGCTAAGGATAATTGCTAGATTTGAGTATAAAATTTACCAATGATTTAAAAGGATTGATTCATTCTTAAATGTGATTATTGTCTTTGGGCCAAAAATTATTTCAGTGAGTGTGAATCTTCAGTTTTATGATAGAAATAAATTAGAAAATATAAGTTAACTTGCAGAAAAAATAGTTTTATGATGTGCATTTCAAGAATATATATTTTCTGTAAAGTGAGGCATATCTGTGCTTATTATTTAAAGGTTCTTTCCTTCTTTAAAACATTCATACCTATGAATCTTCTGTTATTCAAAATGTGTAATGAAAACCATTTAAAACAAATATCGAGTGAGTATCTTGATCCAGAAATATCTATTTGCCGTAGAAATCTGATAAACATTTAGTATACAGGGCAATGTATATTCTACAACAATTAATTTGGATACACAGTACAGAATTTTACTTGGATTATATAATATAGTAGTGATTTAGCTCAGAGTCTTAATGTAAAATCCCATAGACTAACATGTAAAAACTTTACATTATTTTTTTGTCCTGTTTTGTGCTTACTGTGGAATAGTACAGTGAGAGCTATGTTATTCTGTTCCTTTGCTTTTTCAAAAATAATGACAACAATCTTTTTTTTGGCATTTACAGAACTAATGGTCAGCAAATTTGAGTATGTTGACTCCTTTTTCTTAATGAAATGAAAAAGAGATGTGTGTTACACACACACACACACACACACACACAAAGTTTTATTAATGTTTCATAAAATGGTTGCTACAATCAAAGGAACTGCTCTGAAAATTAAATTACTAGGCTGACTCTGAAAATCAGCATAATATGCTCTGTTTAATTCAGTCATGCTAAGATGTTAGATTCTCCTTCATTCTCTCAGCTTTCTCTCTCCTTCACCTGGGGGCATCTGCTGATGAGTCTCTTCTAGAGGTTGTTTAATGACTATTTTACAGGAACTGTCAGCTTTCTAAAGCCCAGTGGCATTGGGCGTCACTGTATTACCAGCCATTTTACACAATTTGCCTGACTGTAAATCGGAGGTTTAAAAGTACAAGAAAAGCTCCTATTTGATTTAATGACTGGTTGATGGGGGTTGATTAATCTTTCTATGCTCAGATGTTTTACTTATAAAGGTCATCTATTGTTTGTTTATTCTCACTTTTCTGACTTTAGAAACACAAGAAATAAGAAGACCATTTTGAGAAGAACACAGAGTAGTCTCAGAAAATCGCTGTCACGTGCACTTTGGGATTTGGACTCAATTATACAGTAAGTGAAATGAACATAGCCTTTACATTAACCTAATATAAAGCTGCAAAACTGTGATACCTGCTCAATTTGGTTAAAGAAATTGAAGATGGTGGCCCTTCTTTTGAGCGGGGGTGGAAGGTATTTATTTCTATTTTCAAAAGCAGGGCTATTGGTCATATAAAGAACAACATTCCTCCCTTCCCCACCCAGAGCTTTAAAAAAAAACTCAAACAGTAATCTTTTTAGTACTATTATCTTGTTTTACTCAAGAAATTGCCTGTATTCATGGTTAGGAGCTTTATTTAATTTAAAAAATACAAATTTACCCCTTTAAAAAATCAAATCAATTCATTATAACCTTAATATATAGTATATATTCTTGTTTCTTGAATATAACATGAGTATTCAGGATGTTCATCAAATTATTTTAGTCAGTTTTAATTTTTGTAGTGTTTAAAGAAGAAAAGGTAATTCCTTTGATCAAAAGTATATCAATCAACCAAAGCTAGTTAACAAATGATATTAGAGCCCAAAAAAGTAGCCTACAGAAAATGATGCTGAGGAAATATTCAACAAGTTTGTTAACATTATCCTTTCAAAAGTTAACACAACAGAGTGGAGTTATACTTCAGCCAATCAAAATATTATCTAATCATGGGTTCCCCTAAACAAGTGTAAAGGAACAATCATTCTGGCAGTTTTCCCTGAATGAAGGTTTCTTATTACAAGTGGCCACAAGACAATAAAACCTGGAAGAAGGTGGGACATACACTCTAAGCAAAAGTGGTTGTAAATTCCCCCTTTCCTTTCGAGAGTGAGAACAATATAAATGCTGAAGAAAAATATGGTCCCACAGCTTTTCATTGGAAAATCTGTTCAGATATGCAGAGCTTAGGCATCTAGATATCAACCTTGCAAAATCTCTAGAGGTAGGATTTTTGCTATTACCAAGCAATTCAGTGTCAAAAAGCCAACTATCTAAACTTAAGACTGCTTTGTTTGAATCTCAGGTTCACATTCTACTACTAAATGAAGATAAAGCAACCATACATATAAATAAATCAATGAGTAGGATTCTGGTAAATTTTTCTTAAAGTATGGTTTTAAAGGCATTTCTAAGGACAAACGTAGAAGGAATGGGGTATAGCATAGTATAGCTGTTCTGGAGATGTAGCTCAGGCATCATCTCTTCTTGGAAAATTCCAGGATTTCTTTTACTGTGCAGCCCCTTCCTTGAGCTTTTACTGCATCAAATTGTATTCATTTTTTTAAAACTTGGTCATCTTTCTCTAGAAAACTGTCTTTGTGAGAGCAGGGTCTATTTAAATTTACTTTGACATAGCCCAAACATTTCAGGACCTTGGATAGTGTCACACATTTGGTAAACATTCAATAAATATTATTTGAATTAAATAACCAAGATCTGCTAAAAGTTTTTCACATTTAATAGAAGTCTTACTAAAGTGTTTTAAATATTACATTCTCTGTTAGGATTCCAACTGCTTCCTATTGCTAAGCTTGAAGGGGCACTGAGATTGAACATCGAGATGGAAGCTCTAGTCTCAGCTCTGTGACTACCAAGCAAGGCACTTAAACTTTTGATTCTTTAGTTTCTTATCAGTGAAATTCAGGATTGAATTTATCACTGAGATTCTTGACAGCTATGATACTCTGATTCTTAGGTCCCTGCTATTCTCATTTGTAGTCAGACCTTTTCTGTCAGCCTGCTTGCAACTCTAAATTGTCACTAATATCTAACATTTACTAAGCATTTATTTGTGGTATTCATACTATCTTCAGTAATACTCATAACAATCCCATGAATAAAGTTTTTACAGTATTAGTATTGTGGCTCAGAAAGATGTAATATTTGTCCAAGAGATTATCTTAGCCATAAGTGGCACACATAAGATTCAAACATTGGTCTTTCAGTAATAATTTCCCACACTTTTTCCATTATGCTGCCAAATATTAACTGTGGCTCATTCATTTCTGAACTTCTAACAGGATAACATTGTAATATTTAAAACAGAATTCCTCAAGAAAACAACAGGACCCTCTGAGAGGAGATTTTCTAATTTAAGTCAGTGACTGAGTTGTTTTATTATCAGACCTGATGGGATTCTTCTGATCTTCCATATCTTTTTCTCATCCTATGGGGCCCAATGCCATGCATTTTCAACTGCATTTCCTGGACAGATGGCCAATGGACCCTTTGGCCATAAAATAGAGCTTGGCAAGCTACTCACACAAGGACTGAACTTGTGACCTCGGCGTTATTTTCACTGGACCCCAAACAACTGATTTAAATAGCCAAAGACAGACAGATCTGACAAGCACTACATGAAATAAAACACAACCCTGAGATGTGTAAAAATTTATCATTCAGTCCATTTATATTTTAATTAATTTCATTTGTTTATTCCAGACTTGTACTTTGTAAAACAATGCACTAGAAACTGCACAATAAATGCATAGTCTGGATGGACCTCAAGAGCTTAGAGGATATGGGGAGAGGGGAAACAAAAAGCCTTCCCACAGGTCCTAAGACAAACCAAGTGCCATGAAGTACAAAGCCGGAAGAACCTCATTCAAATCTGAGTTATCAGAAAGAGCTTTGTGAGGCGACCCTGATAACCTCTCACTCCTCCCCATATCCTCTACATATCTCTGTTTTTATGATCGGGAATAGTTTCCAAGTTAACACTTCAAAGGGCTCTTTAACAGCCCATTGGTATTCACCAAATTCTTAATTGGATCTCAGTCCTTGACCTTACTCCACTCTGTATAGTGAACTTATTTTTATCTACAGATCCAGGTGATTTCCATTGTGATGCCTAATTTTATGTGTCAACTTAACTGGGCTAAGAGGTGCCCAGATAGCTGGTAAAACATTGTTTCTGGCTGTGCCTGTGAAAGTGTTTCTCGAAGAGGTTAGCATTTGAATAGGTAAATGTCATGTCACCACTATGGGTGGAGATCATCCAATCTGTTGAATGACCAAACAAAATGAAAAGGAAAAAGAAAGGTTAATTGCTTTCTCTGTGTTTGAGCTGGGATATTGATCTTCTCCTGTCCATGGTTACTGGCTCTCCTGATTCTGGGGCATTCAGACTCAAACTAGTACTTATTCCAACAACTCCTTGGTTTTCAGGCCTTTGGACTTGGACTGAATTACACCACTGATTTTCCTAGTTCTCCAGCTTAGAGACAGTAGAGAGTGGGACTGCTCAGCATCCATAGTCAAACCAATTCCTAGTATATTCTATTTGTTCTATTTCGCTGACGAACCCTGACTAACACACCCAGTTTACCTGTTTCATTTAATTTCCCATTTACTGGTTTCTTACTCCTCTAAGTACCAACTGGACCTTTCCTTCTTTGATTTCGCTTTCACTCCCTAATCTTATTATTATTATTATTATTATTATTATTATTATAGTTTAAGTTCTGTTGTATATGTGCAGAATGTGCAGGTTTGTTACATAGGTATACATGTGCCATGGTGGTTTGCTGCACCCATCAACCCGTCATCTACCTTAGGTATTTCTCCTAATGCTCTCCCTCCCCTAGTTCCCCAACCCTAGACAGGCCCCAGTGTATGTTGTTCCCTTTCCTGTGTCTATGTGTTATTGTTCAACTCACACTTATGAGTGAGAACGTGCTGTGTTTGGTTTTCTGTTCTTGTGTTATTTTGCTGAGAATGATGGTTTCCTGCTTCAACCATGTCCCTGAAAAGGACATGAACTCATCCTTTTTTATGGCTGCATAGTATTCTGTGGTGTATATGCACCAAATTTTCTTTATCCAATCTATCATTGATGCCACCCCCTAATCTTTTAGTTGTACTTCCCCTGCACTGTGTTCATGATCCTATGCAGTCACTGTCTGTGTTCCTTAAAGCCTTTGTTCCACATAATTCTCTCCAACTTCCAGAGGAGCCCAGAAATTTCAGTCTTAATGCCTTAGAATATTACAGCACTAACTGCCTTTGAACAGAAGCTCTAGAATGCGGAGTATTTTGAAAAGCCAAATTTAAGATTTTATTTTAAAGGTAGTAAGTAAGCTCACCTAAGGATCAAACTCAAGGTCAGGTTGACCAGTAAGTAGAGACTATCAGGTGGATTTTGACTTTCATCTAAGCATCACAGAATGTTTTTCTCTCCTCATGAATCTTTGACCTCCCTTCTCTATTGACTTTTCCTGATGGTCTCCTCTAGCTCTGAGGTTCTATAATACTCAATGTCAATCAAGCTGGGTATATGGGACAATATAATGATGTGTTTTAATGCTTTTGTTGTCTACAAATCTGGTGATTACCTTTTAGAAATTTATTTCATAAAATTGTTTTTTAAACCACAAAAAAATATTTTTAAGTGTAGAGGGATTTAGAAAAAAATATAATTCAATATTTTTCAATAAATAGTAATTAACAGACTAGCCTCTCAATCAATGCCAGCTCTTAAATTAGTATTTCCAGAAAGCTACAAGTAATATTTGAAATTAACTTTAACTTAATATTACTGTTTGTATTCAAATTCTTAGGAATATTCTCAACCTCTTATTATAAACTGCTTTTAATATTCTATCTTAATATATGTTATATTTTGGGATTTAATTCAGGTGGGTCATGCCACTACATATATTTAAATGTTTCTCTTCTAAAATTTCTATGAAGTAATGCTGACTTAAAAAGCCTATAATGGTAAAAAAAAAAAAATGACAATTCTACTAATAATTGCATACTAATCACAGCATAACTGAACCTGATTTGAACCCACTGAAGTTCACATCAACATTTCCCCCAATAAAGTTGCAGTGAGCTTAAAAGATTGTCTCTCCAGATCTATAATGATGACTGGAATAGAAAATTCGGACAGCAAAAGTGGTTGCCTCTTAGACTTCCTGCCAGAATTTGAAAACCACTCTAACAAGTTATTTCTGCCAAGTAAGTGAAATCTGAATGCTGTCTAAAACATTTGAAGAAAAAAAAATGAAAGAAACCCATGCTGACTAAT